AGTAGCAGTAGCAGTAGCAGCAGTAAAGTAGTAGCACGACAGGGGTCTGTGTCGACAGAGTGCCTAAAGGTGGAAGGGGGACTTTGTCAACTGACCCTCCCCCCGCCCCGCTACATGCCTTCAACACTCGATGTATCCAACCTGAAGGCCTTGAAGCCCTAGAATGTCTTGTTAGCCGAGGCTTTTTTTCTTGTCGACCACTCCCGAAAACTCCTAGCAAGCTAGCTTTCGTGATTCTGACACTCTTGGGAGCCGGCGCAGCACCAACGGCTGGCAGGGCAGACCTTTGCGCGGAATCTGATGTCCGTAATTGTTCAGCCTGCCTGTGTCTACTGTGGATAGAATGAAGTCGGACCGAACTGGCTGAGCAAACGAGGCGGTAGTGTAACGTCACCAAGTCTCCAACAATTCATTGCTGAGATCCCGGCAGTCTGGCTGCCAAAGGCTCCGAAGCCTTTGCGGCGATCCGGTGTAACCAATGTGGCAGCTCCTGACATCGGGGCCAACACAAGACACCTTTTGGGCCCGGGAGGCCTCGGCGCATGTGCCCAAAGCGAATGTTGCTACTATTCCAGATGGGCCGTGGGTTGCAAACCAGGTAATCAGCATGCATGCGCGCTGTCCTTGTCGAAAGTTTTTAAAGCATTCTCTTGCAGGATTTCGTCTGGGCCTGCATCTGCAGATGGACCTGCACGGAGAGAGCCGAGTCTGCAGCTGCCGAGACCGTCATACAAGTATGTTGGCGTCTGTCATACGATGGCCCTTGCTAGCATGGAGTCGTGCCACCGCAGCGCCTCGCCGTCCACTTTGAAATCCCCAGTAGGATGTTCTTCTGGATGAATGTCCAGGCTCCTACAACTGAAGCTGGGCTCGGAAACTGAACTTCAGCTTGCCCGGGAGTTGACTTCGTAACAAATCCATCGTGCAGGCTCGCACCTAACCGTCCAGGAAGTACGACCTTACAACTGGATCTGAATGTACCACTCTCCAACGCGAGCTGTCCACAACATGGCACCATCGATTGTATCCGCACAACCCAGTCCTCGACATCTGCCTTCAATCTAAGACGTGCACAGCTTGGAAGCACGAGGCTGGCTCAGGGCAGTGTTCCTTATAGCAGTCCTTTCCATATTTTCCATTTCCAGTATCAATTGTCTGTCACCCTGCCTGACGTGCCTCACGCGCTGGGATGTGACGTGGGGAGAGCGAGTTCCAAACCCAAACTTGCCGCTTTACTGTTGTCACTCTCTTCCGGATGCCGTCCTCGATCGCCCGGCAGATGCTACATTGACCAAGCTCGGCGGTCTCTTTTGCTTGTTGCTCTCATCCTCGTTCCTCCTCGTCTTTCGCGAGGCTTAAAGCTTTCACTAGGACGAGACTTGGGTCCTTCTTCCCTTTCTCTCCCTCGGGCTGGTCTGTTGTCGAACTGCATCGTAACAAGGTGAGGAACTCCGACTGACAGATGGCTCTACAACTCCAAACCGCATGGCTGCGCCTGCATCTTGCGGATCTTTCTGATCTGCTGAACTTCACTACAGCCGCCAATAGGCTTTGCGGCCCCGAAACGGAAGCAGGCCTGCCAACCGATCGCCTGCGCATTCGCCTGCTGCAGAACATGGGCTTTCCTTGCTCTCTCGACCAAGGAAGTTGACACCAGTGATGTTCCACTGCACCCTTCTTCCTCCTACCCTCTGCAGAGACAAGCTGCAAGCAGCTTCAAGCAACAGAATCTGCATCGTCACATCTGCAAGCCGCCCACAAGTTTTGCATGGTGCTTCTTGGCAAATTGCTGTCGAAACAGCCTGTAACGTGCAAAGACTCAGGCATGAGCTGCACGAATGACTCTTTCCTTTTCAATGTTGGAGCTTGCAGTTCTTACTTGGTTGTATGCTTGGCCTGTGCGTGCTACTAGCAGCAGAGTAGCAGGACAGAAAGGAGCGTTGCAATTCAGAATCATTTGTAGAGACTACCTTGGCTCTTCACTGGCCATCCTGCAAAACCATGCCCGTGTCTTCTTACACACGACAAAACTGCCAAGTGTTGTGCAAACCATTGCACTTGACCAAAACAAGCAGATGGTTCTTCAAAGGACAACTCGAAATGGATTGACCTGTCAACGAACTTGGTCATACAGGTAATCCTGCTGAAGCTTCGGCCAGCTGCTCCTTCTTGATCCGAAACAAAGACCATCAGCAACACTCCCGTAGAGAACGAAAACAAAAAACCGTGCCCACCGAGGACGAATGCCTAATTCCAGTCAAGCCTGAAAGAAATTACTTGCATAGGAACTTGTTCGTGGGCCGTTCTCTGCCATCTTCCCTCCCGAGCACCTGTATAGCCAAGTAGTTCAAGACTAGCACAGGTCGGAAATATACTGTGAAAACACGAGAGCACACTCAAAGCTCCCACGGCACATGACTATGGGTTGTGATTGAGCCAGGCGCGATCAATAAAAGCAGGAACTCGTAGTGTCACAAGCAACAGCACTAAAAAGTCAACTTGCTACTTCCTCGCCTCAATCCGCAATGTTAGGACGCCCTGGTTCTGTTAACGTTGGATAGCTCTCAGATCATTAAGTGTGTGAATAAAGTGTGAAAAAAGTGTAAAAAGAGTGTAAATAAAGTGTAAAAGATGTAAATAAATTGTAAGGGTAGCTGGCAGAAGTGAAATAAGTAGCGTGAAAAATGTGTGAAGACTCTGTGAAAGAAGTGTGAAAAAAAGTAAAAAAGAGTGCAAAGCCCGTCGGGTTCGGGGCTCCCCAAAAATAGTGCGAAACCTAGGTTTCAGCTGCAAAAAGGGGCCCCGAACCCTGGGGGCTTTGCAATTTTTTTGCACTTGTTTCACAATTTTTTCACACATTCTTCACACATTTTTCACACTTTGTTCGCATTCTCTTTTGGGAAAAACAGTATTTGTCCGAAAATCCAGCCAGCTCTGCCTGGAAAATGCAAAAAAAGGCAAACAAGTGTGAAAACAAGTGTGAAAAGCAGAAGGGGCCCCGAACCCTGGCCGCGAGGCCATTTACACTTTATTTACACTTCATGCGCACTTGATTTGCACTTTATTTGCACTTCTGCGTCCTCTCAACCCCTTCCACTTACACTTTATTTGCACTTTTTTTGCACTTTATTTACACTTTAATCAGACTTTCTACCCAGGCTCCCCGCAGGCCTACACTTTATTTGCACTTCATGTGCACTGCATTTGCAAATAAATGATTTGGAGGATTCCCAACCTTAACAGAACAGCGGACCTCTTAGCCGTAATGCGCAGCCGACACGGGTAGTCACCAAACACATAACGCTGTCAGTGGTCAAGAAATTGCTATTACGTTGTCAGCGGAAATCATAAGCTCCGACGACGGAGACGCGCATGTTGCACTTGCCTGCAGTATGGAAAACACTCAATATTGGCATTTGACTGGAAACTTGGTAATCTGAAATGCTCGGAAGACTTCGAAGATACTGGTATCATTGGTCTCTAGTTGGAAATCGGGGATGCTGACGGACATGAATGATCCCGTCCTGAAATTCCCAGCAGCAATTTCCTGCCGAAAGCGTAAAGTGCGAGCTGTGAAGAAAACCTCCCTGCAGTATAGGACGATTCAATGTTGAGGCTTCAATTGCCAACGAAACGCACACTCTGCCGGAGAGGCAGATGCACCTCGGCATGGAAATGACACAGACCTCGGCCCTCTTCCTCCGCGTAGTAGCAACCCTTTCCAGGCGAGTGCTGTGCCGTGGGGCGGAATCGATTTCCTTCCGATCCGCCAATGTTTCCCAAAGCCATACATCGAACTTGGCATCGAGTAGTACTCGTGATTGCCTGGCGTAAGAAGCCAAGAAATTACTTTGCCTTGATGTTCCTCGCATTGCCGCTTCACACCCGTCGGGCTTGTCTCGGCCACTAGTTTCGCAGGGAGGTGCTTTAGCAGATGTCGCTGGCAACGCGGGGAGGGGAGCTCGAGAAACATGACCTTCAGACCCCATGAAGACACCCCACCTCCAATCATGAGGCAAGCAACTTCCGAATACTGAACAGCCCGAGACGGCCGGCCGATGCACGCAAACACTGATGCCGCCATAGGTTGTGTTTTCGGATGGGCGAAAAAACGTCCCGAAAAGACCTCATGACAGCCGGTTTCGAATGCCGTCAGCCGCGCTTGCCTTAGTCTCAGTGAAGGCTCTCCTTCTGAACTTTTGTGACAAATAATATATGATGTATCATATATTATAGATCACATGTTATATATCACGCCTATTGGAGCATACATCACATACAGGCAGTCCTTGGCGTTTGTAAGCAGTGGGAAGAGAAGCTTCAGCACATAAATGGAGCCGCGTTTTCACGAAAGCTCCGGATACTTCATGCCTGATTGAATTCAGTCCACCCTCCTGAGTTAGCATGCGAAGGGAAATCAGGTGAACGCATTTCTGAGAGCACTGACCAGAACATCTGCCTCGCAGCAGAGGTCCAGATACACCGTATCGGCCGATAGAAGCACAAGCAGCTCATCAGCCGACTCATGATGATGAATAGAGTCGTATCCAATCCTATCACTGGAGGTCTCGAAATTAGGCATGCTCCAACTTGCAGTTCGTCGTCTCACCATGAAGCACAAGACACGATCTGTTTGATTGGAGACAGCCCGATGCTGGCAGGCAAAGCCAGCGGGACAGTCAAGCATTCCCGTGCTCTGTACAGGGCACTTGCCGAATCCAAGAAGTAAAACCTCCCGAGAACGTCAGCGCCCCTGAAGTGATACCTCCTTGTTGCACTTTGCTGGGCCGCTCTGCAAGATTCGGAAGCTAAGCACGAAACCACACATATGTTGCCTTCAGGCATTTTGCAGCATCATCGTGTCTCTGGGGCTGGCGTGTTGAGCATGGATGGCGCAATGCGAGCTCTGAATCTGAAAAGCTCAGCTATTGAGCATAAGAGGCAACAGCCTGGGCTGGCAAAGCAATGTGTAAGCTTGGAGCACCAAGTCTTCGCCACGTGTTCGAATTGGAATGCAGAGCAGAACATTGCCTTGTTGCCGCGGCTTCAAGACTAACGGTTGATATTGGTTTGAGTTAAAAGAGTTTTCATGGCTTTTCAGTGCGGCACTTGGGAATCGTGACCCAAATGTGCCAGAGAGACGGCCATGTCAGTCAGACTTCCTCCCAGGGAAATCCAGCTTCACAAGAAGCTGCTTACACGGCATTTCCAGGTTTTTTGAAAATGCAAAATTAAGCTGGGCATGACACCGATGCGCGCATGCAGGCTGCAGAAAAATGCTGCGACACTGAATTCGGAATCCAGTTCGCTGCAACAGCCCATTTCAGGAAATGAGTGAATGTTTACTGTACCACCGAAGGGCTGGGAGATCGGCTTCAAGCGGTCTCCAAAATACTCTGCAAGCGCTGCTGGCTGAACTGTGCGTCTTTCATCAGGTTCGCACTCGCTGTGTGGTCCTCTGTGAAGATGTCGCACGTGGCCTTCAGTTTCAGCTCAGCTATGCATGGCAGACCACACTGCAGCTTCTTTCAGCTACTGCAGGAAAGCGGATTGTCCTAGTCACTAGTCTCCAGCTATATGCATATGTCGAATGGTGTTTTTGTAGTCGCACGAGCTTGTCGCGTCTAGTCTGAGGAACCTTCATGGAATGTCTAAGGCGTGCTTGCGGTTGCTTTAAGCGGGCTTACCTCGGTGACATGCCTACCGTGCCTAGCCCAATGCATCTCCAAGCTGCGTATGCTGCTCCCAGCCTGTCCAGTGCCTGCACTGCCCCAACCAGTGAAAACGGTACAAAGTTGTCAATGACATGCGGTCTTTGCTGCACACCTACAGTCGAGATGAAACCCGAACTCTGCCCCGTCCAAACTGTCAAACTCGAAAACCTCAGCAAGAGGGAAGCGACAGGAGCTCCGTGCTTGGACCGAATTCCAGGAGCTCCGAATAGACCAGACCTCCCTCCCTCAGCATTCTCTGGGTGCTTCTCTCAGATTCGTTCTTGGTCAGGTTTCGCCTCGCCCTTAGCCCAGCGAAGCGCCGCTGCATGACGCTTCGTCAGGCGACCCTCTCGAGTCTGCAGAAGCGCCTCCCGGGTCTGGGGCTCTAGAGCCACAAACTACGGCTAAGCTGCGCCGAGACCGGTCGTGACATGCCGGGATTTCGAGGGCCACAAGACCGTAAGACGAGCTCTGTAGAATCGGTGCAACGGAGCACACACCAGTCTCCCAGAGCCACGGTTGGGCCTGCAGGCTCGGGACGTCACGAAGGGGCTCGGCCTCGTGAACTTCTTGGGAATCTTCGGACCTCACTGCGATGTTCGCAATGCACGCTTCAACTGCGAAGAATTTCTGCCTCTGCGATTCCGCTGAAGAGCATGATGCACAAAGTCTGTGTATTGAGGAAAGAGCGCAGCTGCAGTGAAGTCCAAGTCTGTCATCTCGCAGAACTGTGTGTTGGCCCGGGTCAGCTGCAGATTTCGCATCCTGCACTCGTGTTGCCATCCAGTGCGGGACGGCAGCACATGTTTTGCATGCAGTTGGGCTAGAGCATGTTTGGAAGTGAACCGCTCCAACACCAATCCTGCCTGAATGCACGCAAGGACGATGGAGTGTTGCGCTCAACCCTATCAGGGGCTCGTGGCACCAACGGCTTCATCGCCTGAGCTGGGGACGAAGACAAAAGCTTTCCGGATAGATCGTTGGCTAATGCCCAAGCATGCTAAGACACCTGTCGCGCAAGCGTTGATCCTGTGGCTGGAGCCTGTGCGCCGGCCGCCTTCTGCGGAAGCGCGCAGGAATCCATGGCCATGGACTCTGTGTTCATCGTTGTGTCTTTTCCGAGGCCAGCAGTCTGGAACTACGTCGTGAAAGCAGGACACACTGATGGCAAGGTACTTCGCAACTGGTGTGAGGACAAGAGTGCACACAAATCATCGACCTCAAATGCTTCAAGCAGAAACATGCACGCATTCAGTTAGCTCGGACTACCCGCATGTGACGTTTCGCACTTGTTGGAATAACTTACTTAGGGATAGGTGAAAGAACCCTGGCGAACGTGAATTCGGGCGGGAAGCCGGGAGCAAAGAGCTCCGCATGACAGCAAATCGCACATGAATGCCACGCACCTGCGAAGTCAGGCTTCCGGCGACAACCTCTGCGGTCAGCGCGTGGAGTTGATGGCAGCGGTTGCCTCCTATCATAGCTCACTCTGCTCCTGGCCACGTGCTGGCTCAGCCGCGACTGCAAACTCGGATGGCTAAGGTTCCCGCAACTGCAGCGACTATGCTGCCAACCTTAACCTGAGCAAACGTAACACTGAGGCACACTGCTACTAGCCGAAGACATGACGGCCAACAGGAAAGTTGGCAGTGCTGAGGACTGAATCTAGTTTCGGAGTGCAGGATTATGATGGATTAGACTCATCCGTCCACGGCACCAAACGCAAGCTGATTGAATCGAAACGAGGCAGCCGTTCAACATGAACTGACTTTGTTGCCCCTGGAGAAATTAATGGAAATAATTCCCGACGCTCAGCACACTCAGATAAGCGTTCGACGAGCAGTCTCGTTCTTCGACGTCCGGCCCCATCTGCTCCACCTAGCATGGAGAAGCTATCCTGCAGCGCCACTCAACTACGTGGCCCCAGTCAGTCAGTGTGTGTGTGTGTGTGTTTGTTTGTGTTTGTTTGTGTGTTTGTGTGTGTTTGTGTGTGTTTGTGTGTGTTTGTGTTGTTTGTTTGTGTGTGTGTGTGTTTTTGTTTTGTTTGTTTGTTTTTGTGGGGAGGTTATGAGAGTGCACAGATCGGAAGGGCGGTTTAACCCGCCATCCTATAAGCCTAAAGCACACTAGCAGACTAGCATGCGTCAGGCTTGCTGAGCTGGCGCATGTTGGGCACAGGCACAGGCTCGATCTTGGGAAAATCAATCCGTGCCTGCGCGGTCTCCCTCCATAGCCGGCCGCAACTCTAGGCTGGGGCTGGTGGCACAGCAGCGAGCCGCATGTTCAAACCAGACGGACTCTAAACGGGTTCCTTTGTTTCACCAAGGCGACATCTAAGCCTACGAGTTACTAGCTGTAAGCTACTAGCTTCAGGAATGGGGAATCTGCGCCGACAGCAACCAGAACGCTGGCCATGCAACCATGCTAAGCAAGCTGGGATGAGGTCGCACCCTCCAGCGGGACTGGCGCTTCTGGGTCTCCGACGTGGCCTCCGATGAAGGCATCAGCCCGAGAAGCTCAACATCAAATCGATCTACCATCTCCTCCATACCGTCACTGGCAGTTGGCGAAGCGGCGTAGCAGGTACTGGGCCTTCGCCCTTTTCTCCTGCCGCTCCCTGCGCCGGGCCGAAGCACGAGCACGAATCTCCTGAACACTTCCACTCTTGACACTGAGATCTCAAAAAACTACAGGTGTTTGAGGGCTTGGCCGGGCCGCTACTCACTGGAGCCCACTGATTCAAAGAGCCAAATTCCGAGCAGGTCGGGACGTCCTCTTGCTCATTCGACGACTGCTTCTCGGTCTCCTGCGAGGAGCATGTGGTCTGCCACATCATACTGGGTGGAACAGCTGCGCCATGCATAATCACTTGTATCGAAAACCCAGGCCTGCGCAGCTCCGACCAGTTGGCTTCGCCAGCTGCCCAGCAGGAAATCACGCTCCTCCCCAGTAACCACCTGCAAACGCTTTGTTTCCGCCACTCGTCTCCGATTCGGATTCACATTATCTTCGATTTGCTCGTTGGCCTTCCTCAACTTTGCCCCAGACTGCAAACATCGCTACGTTTCGGCGAGGGCACGACACTGCCTGCTGGGCCATTGCCTTGCGCAGTGGAAGCACACGTTCACTCTTCTGAGAGGGAACCGTTTGCATGTGTAGGGTCCTGCTGTGCTGCAACGCCGAGTCGATTGAGGCATTCCATGCTGCCGGAAGCTGCCTGCAGAATAGAATAGCACTTTAGCAGAGAGTTGATGATGCAAGTGATACAACAGTTGCACAGTTACGGCTTCCAAGTGACTCGCCTCCTCGAACTCTACAGCAGTCTCTTTGGGCAGCTGACCTCGCCACCTGCAGTCGCAGGCTCGTCGTGACCAAAAATCGTGAGCACTTTGATATCTGCATGCGTGCAGCAGCAGCAGCAGCACATAGGTGGGGACGGGGGGGGGCTCTGAAATAGGTAGCCGGTACAATTTTTCCAGAGCAGGGAGTGGGGGGAGTGGGGGACTCTGCCAAAGGTGTTTTTTCTCTCTCTCTCTCTCTCTCTACCAGGCTGGAGAGACTAGGTGCGTCCAGACCTAGCCCCTCGCGCGCACGCGCGCACCCGCACTCCGTGGGTGTCTCACAAGGCTTCCCCCGGGAGATTGTCCCCAGGGGGCTTGGCTGTGCAGAGAAAGAAGACTTCCCCCGCCCAGTCTGCGAGGTGATTTGTCAACACACACACACGATTACACATGCAATGTAGGTTTCCCCCTCCCACCCCGCAGACTGCACTTCAAAGCACGGCACTGCTACGAGGTTTTGCAAGGTTTTGAACTTCCGCGGGAGGGGATAACCCTTCTGCGGTTCGGCTATACAAAAGGACGGCACAGC